GAACTCACAACCTTGCGCTTGCAAGGCAGGCGCTCTAAAAAGCAAAATTAAAAATAAATAATATTTAAGATTTTATACTGTCAGTATATTAATTGCTAATTACTTGTGATAAGTAGTTTGCAATAGACGCATCAAAACAAAATAATCTCTGCTCTCCCCAGAGGACAGATTTACAGTGAGAATTTCAGCCATCCTAGGACCAGACTTCAGCAAATTTTGGGAATGCTGAGGAATGTGTGCTCCTATCACATAGTGCAGGCTTCTTTTTTCTCTCTTTCATCTTCTGTATACGTCGCTAATTTTGTGCTTACTTAAATACAAGTTGTACAATAGAGTGTAAACTGTATTCTGAACAATAGAGTATAAACTATATTCTGAACATAGAATCACGTTTCCGATTCATAGAACCACGGTTCTGAGCTGCAACCGACTGAGAGTGTGAGAGCCCCGGATTTCACACATTGAAACCCTAATCCCGGAAGTGCTATATTTGAAAGTGAGGCCTTTCGGGATGCAATTAGGTGAAGAGGATGGAGCCCTCATGAGCTCGAAGGCAGTGAGCCCGGAAAAGAGGACCATCCCCACGGCCTCTCCACGCTGGCACCCCGGTTTCACCCTCGTCTTCAGAACTATGAGAAGTAAATTCCTGTTGTTTTTAAGTAACTCAGTTGAGGATACCTTGTTACAGCATTTATGTCAGCGTTCGCCTCAGTTCTTCCAGTGCAGGGCGGTGAGGAGAGCATAGTGATAGAATCAGCACGTTGGGGTCAACATCCGGGCTGGGCCCTGGTCCGGCCGACCAGCTCCTCAACCTCAGGGAGCCTCCACTGCTTCATCCCAGCAATGGGGATTTTAAAATCTAGATTTTAAAGTCTGCTCTGTAGGGTTATTGTGGGAGTTAAATAAAATCATAGTAATAATTTCACATATACCTATTTATAGTAGGTACTTAAAATATTGTTAAAATATAATAATAGAAACACTTTGTACAATTAGAAGTTTGTGAATGCTAAGATTCATAGAAATGTAACACCCTGGACAAATATAGAGTCTTCTAAAATTTGCCACATATGTGTAAAAGCTAGCTCTAACATGTAGTGGTCCTGATATGTAGTAGTCGCACAATAAATCCTAGCTTCCTTTTATTGTAAGTTGGTTGAAAACTTCGTCCTGTTTCTTTGAAATTGTTATTAGCCATGAGTCTAGTAATTAGAATCAGAAGTTGTAATAAGAAGGTAGAATATCATGCCAGAGAATATATATCTCTTTACAGGGTTGTGAATTTTTGTCCTAGACGTTTTGCTGTGTCTGAGTTTAGACTCCCAAATGGTCCATGAGATAAAATGAAAGAAGGTGAAATTTAACAGGATAACCATAGGGAAATGTCTAGTACTATAATGGTATGTAATAAGAACTGAACTACAGTTCTCTTTTCCTCATTTGGAGTCTCTTTCACTACCGCACAAAACATTTAAAAATATCTTCTCAATATATCTTTGTCTTTGGAACTAGGTCTGATTTTTGGAAATATCTGAAAGCTCCTCAGAGCCAAGAGTGGTGAATAATGTGTATGAGCAAGTTGAATAGTACCATTTTTGGTAAAAAGTGAGTTCTAATGAAATTAATGAGACTTTTTCTCCTGGCTTATGAAGAACCTCTGAAGGCGATTCCAAAGGAATTCTATACATGGTTTAGGCAGTGACAGTATCTTGGAAATAATTTTGAAGACTTTTTTTTTTAACCAGTGAAGTAGTGTTGACATTGAATATATGAGCAACAGCTTCTTTAATTACTAAAATATTGAAATGATTCTCTCACCAATGAATAATAGGCCCTCCCCTGCATTCCATTAAACAAGATTCATCCAGTTGGCCAGCTACTTCAGCCCTTATACCAGGTTAACTTGTGGTAAAGGGGTCTCTAAAATTGCTTTGACACTGGCCAGTGTCAAACTTCCGTTGGTTGATGTTTATGTCATTCAGTATGCTAATTATTTGAATATCACTACAATCTGTCATACTGCCTGATCATCAACTTCGTGTTCTTGGCAATGCTTATTTTGACTTTAAGCTTGGACAGTTTGTACAACATGAATAATAGCTTTCTATTATATTAACATATAATACACAATAGCTAATAATAGCTTTCTATTATATTAACATATAATACACAATTCTTCTTTGCAATAACCGGTCTCTCTAAAATTTTTTGCTTAATCAGGTGCTACATGCAACAGCTTCAAGACTGCATATATGTCTTCCATCAACAAACAAACGCTTTTTCTTTTCTCCCTCCTTTTTTTTTTTTTTTTTTTTTTTTTTGCAGGACAGTTCAGGAAAGAAAGTGGAAGATTTCTAGAGTTAATCCCACCATCCTTATAGATGTCAAAGTTTAGTAATTCTGCTAAAAAAAATTACATGAGATGGATACATTTATAAAAATACAGAGAATAAATTTCTAGATGTTTCCAAGGCAGAAAGTGCAAAGTATTATTAGAAAACAATCATTGCAGATCCATTTAGGTATTTATGGTCCATTTATTTTCACAATTTTCAGTTGTTCCTCCTTGTTCTTTGCTGATAACTTTATTGGTTGCAAAACAGTGATTGTTTCATCTTTGTCTTAACACCCCTACCTCATTTGCAATTTTCTTCTAGAATTTCATTTAACACTAATGGTGACACTGAGCTATAGGCATTATTTGATCTCAAATTCAGACTGTAGCACTAGTTTACCTGAACTAATCCCAAAGAAGCTGTATAAATGCAGTGAACGCTCCGTTATAAACTGGAAATTTATTATTTTTTCTTGAGATGTTCCTTTGTGTACATTGAAAAGTATATTTCTTGAATGAATCAAGAAAATGAAAACAACGAAAATGACAGGAAAATAAAATCAAAGAATGTGAAGACTGTCAGGGTCTCTAAAACCTAATATAGTGGCTGGTGCATCAAGATATTCAGTCAATGAGTAGGAAATGGAGAACTATCCAGAGTTCAAATTCTAACTCTGAAGTAGAACTAGCATTAACATTGTGGCAGTCATGCCAAGAGTTGAATTTGGAACAGTCTGGCAACCTAATACTCCCCCCTTGGCTTTATAACCTAGAAGAACTGGATGGTCAAGAGTACACAGGAGGTTTCTGGGCTCTGTTAAAAGTTTCCTTATGGTGAGGAAAAGAGTCTCCTTAAAAGCTATGGAGTGAAACATAATACAGACACCAAAGACCAGACTAATGTACTTTGCCTTGATGTTGTCTGAAATGACTGCTGTAGATTAATAAAACAAGCAGAAAGAAATGGAAAAATAAAGGTGATTGGATAATTACTCCATTACCATAAGGATGTAAATAAATATAGCTTGTAGGACTTGAATTATTTGTTATACTATGAGACAGCCACAGTAATAATGTGGTTCTCAGTACAACAGTGTGCGGAAATTGTGAAAGTTGTCAGAATCAGAAGGAATGCCCTTGTGTCAAACCCTAACAGAATTATAAAGGAAGCTGTGAGGTTATGAAACAGGGGACCGCATGCACCTGTGTCTGATCACCAAAACAGTCTCAAAAGACTTGGCTACAATGGCAGCCTTGAACAAAGTCCACAATTTCACACACACACACACACACACATGCACACACACACACACACCATTTTTGCAAGAATATCTGCTCAGAGACTCCTTGTCTGACATTGGACTCACGCTGCTGTCGTTACTGATCCTTATGGTCAACGTCAATTGTTTTAAAACAAATAGGTTTTTTTTTTGAGACAGGGTCACTATGCAGTTCAGGCTGGTTTGGAACTCACTATGTAGTTCAGGCTGGCATTGAACTTGGGGCAATCCTCCTGCCTTGGGCTCCTGAGTGCTGGGATTACAGATGTGTACATCCCAGCTCCAAAACAACTTTCATAACTCTTTTTCAATTTACCTTCAAAGACATTTGTCTTCCCGGCCTTTTTGGCTAATCCCATGTATATTTCTTCTGCAAGACTTATTCCTGCATGCATTCATTATCTTTGGAGAACTGCTCTCCATTTGTTATTTAGCTTGACAGTGCATTATGAAGCATGGTATAACTTCATTGATCCCTCTCTGAGGAAACAAATTTAATTCT